ATCAACAGTCTTTAGGCATTGGAGCCAAGTATCTAATCCGGAGCAGTTGTCGAGATGAAACTAACTATCGTTCTTTTGACCCTCGTCGGCCTAGTAGCCGCCGTAAGCATTCCTGCCACCACCAACAAGGTTACGGTTGCCGATCATGCTTTCTTGGAGAAACAGAAGTTCCTCCTTGAGATCGTCTACCGTGTAGAGGATCCATTGATGTTCGAAGAATACATTAAATTGGGCCAGCACTTGGTCAACGATCAGGCGCAATACAGCGTAAGTTTATTTTATAAAAATTTTCTCCTTCCTTCAACAAAACTTTAAACATTCGAAAAATGTCCTTTATAATTGCAGCACTTCGATTACAACATGGAAAGATTCTACGAGTCCTACAAAATGGGCGCACTCTTGCCAAGAGGTGAATTCTTCGGCGCTATGGTCCACACTCACCACAAACAAGCCTACGCTCTCTTCAACTACTTCTACTACGCCAAGGATTGGGAAACCTTCCAACAAAATGTTGCTTGGGCTCGCATCCATGTCAACGAAGGCATGTTCGTTTACGCTCTTACTTTGGCCGTCATCCACCGCGATGACTTCCAGGGTCTCATCCTGCCCACCATCTACGAAATCTTCCCACAATACTTCTTCAACAGCAAATTCATCTACGCTGCCGAGAAATTCGACTACAATACCTGGAGCAAGTACACTCAATACGAGAAGGAGTTCAATGATGTCTACTACCAGAACAACAAATACTACAACCAAGACTACTTCTACATGAAGGACTTCAAGACCTACCAATGGTGGAAATTGATGGGTATTGGTGAGAACTGGTACGCTGCGGAGAAGAACTACCCACTCCGTGAAAACACATACGAAATTGTCGGCGATGAGAAATATGCATCATTCATGAAGGATGTCAACATTTTCTGGCATCCCGTTGATTACACCCGCGATATTGAATTCTTCAACGAACATTCTGTGTTGTCCTACTTCACTGAAGATTTGGGCTTGAACTCATACTGGTACTACTTGAACATGGACTACGCTTTCTTCTTGAACGGAGACAAGTTCGGTTTGAACAAGGATCGTCGTAGTGAATTGTGGATCTATAATGTTGAACAACTGTTGTCTCGTTACTACATGGAACGTTTGTCTCATGGTTTCGGCGATATTCCAGAACTCTCCTGGTATCACGCTTACGAATACGGCTATGATCCAGAGTTGGTCTCTTTCAATGGTGCTGGTTACACTTACCGTAAGAACTACTTCGAAATCCAAAGCTACGGCAACTTTGACATGTTGAACCAGATCCAAAGCGCCTACAAACGTATCTATGGTATCATTGAATCCGGTGTGTACACCACCCGCGACGGACACAAGATCGATTTGCAACAACCCGAAGCTGTTGAATACATCGCAGATTACTTGCAAGGTAACGTCGATATCTTCGACAAGTACGTCCTCAACTCTTGGTACATGCTAAGCCACATGCTCATTGCCAACACTGAATATAACCAATTCGAAGTAATCCCCAACGTCATTTTGAACTACGAAACCATGATGCGCGATCCCCTCTTCTACAGCTTGTACAAACAAATCAGCACCGTCTACTACCTATACAAACAACAACTCACACCTTACACCAGAGAGGAACTTGCTCTACCCGGCGTTGAAATCAAGCGTGTGGGAGTCAGTGAAATGGTTACCTACTACGATTTAGTAGACTTTGATGTCACCAACCTCATGAACGACAAAATGGTAATCGTTGATGGTCAATTCGTCTGGGATAAGGCATTATACGCCCGTCAAATGCGTCTCAACCACAAACCATTCAACTTTGACATCACCGTCCAATCTGACAAACCACAGAAGGTTGTCATTCGCGCATACTATGGACCTAAATACGATGAATATGGGCGTATTATCTCGCTGAACCAGAACCGTCAGAACTTTGTTGAATTAGATGAATTTGTTTATGAATTGTCTGCTGGTGAGAATGTCATCAGACGTTCGTCCGACGACTTCTACTGGACTGTCAAGGATCGCACCACCTACACAGAATTGTACCGCTACGTAATGGCTGCCTTCGATGGCAAATATGCATTGCCTTTGGACATTAGCGAACCACACAGTGGCTACCCAGACCGTCTTCTCTTGGCTAAGGGTTGGGCCGGTGGTTTCCCAGTGCAACTGCTGTTCTACATTGCGCCATACCAAGCGACCGTTGAGCAAGCCTACAACTTCGATGCATCCTACTCTGCTGGCATTGGTTCCGGCGCACGCTACGTTGACAACAGGCCCTTCGGTTACCCACTCGACCGTCCAATTGACGAGTACGAATTCTTCGTGCCTAACATGTACTTCGTTGATGCCAGCATCTACCACCAAAACACACTCAAGCAATACTACGAGGGATACAAGAACTACGGACAATTCGACTACAGTTATTACAATAACTACTACACCAACTACTTCCATTAAATCAAAGGCTCCAGCTGGCTGTGGAATTTGGTATTTCTAAGAGAAAAATGAAAATATTGTCATGTTGAACTAGTAGCTTAAGGGTTAAAGAAAGTAAAGCAGAACGAAATAAATGGTAAAAAGGATAAATACGACTTCTTTACTGTAATTAGTTAAAGTAAGCATTTTCATGGTAGCGTCAATTGTTTTCGGGTTTCCATACCTCGAAAAGCTTTGAGCTCAGCTTAAATTAAAGGCTATTATTATTAGCTCGTCTCGCGAAACTAAGAAGCCTTCCATCCATATTTAAGAAATTGTCTTAGTATACTCATGCTTGCTTTCATTGAGCAGATGGGACTGTAGTGTTTCTGGCTGGTCACTCTTGGTGGCACAAACCCCATTTGAACTTTCTACCATGAAGGGGATGAGAGCGCGAAGAACGTTTGGCCGCCTTGGCAAGGACTGCATGGAGAGTCGAACACCTGAACTCCTTACCACACAACAATCTGATGCAATTTACTCCTTGACCATGTACACTTACATAGAACAGATAAAAGTTAGGTAGTCAAAAGAGCTATAAGGATATTAAAGTAGGAGTTTTATCAAGTTCAGGACTGAATCAGCTCAAAATAAAAGTTGCTCGAGCCCCCCCCCTAACTTTCAAATTTTGCTTATATATATATAAAATAGTACACTGAAATGCCAGCTTAATAGGGTCGAGCTCCCCCCCCTAAATTTCATTCTGGCTACGCCGATGGTTAGGTTAATGCGGCTGCCTTCATCCGACATACGAGAGTGGTACACTTAGACCCAGTGGGTCCGTTGTGATATCAATTGAGAGCTCGAATTCGAACCCGTCCGTTCGCCTAGAAATGGAACCAGTTGGTTAGGTTTAGAAAGCGCGAGAATTCGTAAATTCCTGCTTCACTTAGATCAAACCGGTGGTGGTGAAATGAGCTTCTTCTCGCCCACATGAGGGTGGGGCAGTGAAAGAGATAGTGTTCCTCGATTTCGTCCACGTCGCGGCAACCATTATTAAGTGAAAAATAATTTTACTTTAGGTTATCACCATAGGTGGTCTAATCTAGCTTAAGCTCATTCCAAACGGCAGTTTAGTGTAGCCAATCAGAACACACTTGACCAAAGCAGCAATTCTGCCCACTTAGAAGTGAATAGCATTTATGAACTTTCCCCCTCCTTTGTGAAATTTTACATGTACATGAAACGATGGATTTTGGAATAGGCCCAAGGGGAATAACATCTTTAAGCAGCGGAGTATGAATTAAAATTTTAAATCATGGCTATAAGTGATGCTAAGATTGACGAATGGAACGTAAAAAGATAAAAATAAAGATAAGAGAAAAATAAACTATGATTTGTATGTAGGTCCTAATTGTTGCTATAACCGCTTAAGTGCTTTTGACTGAGATCAACATGGCATTTACATCGTTCCTCTAGCTATCTGCCGCGCACCTAAAAACTAAGTCCCTCTCCATCTGATATTTCGACCCCGAAGGAAGGCTTCCTCTTCTTCTACCAGCACCAGGGTGTACCGCCTGGAATACTTACGATATCAAAGTCGTTGTAATAGTCACTATGGAATTCCACGATTATCTATAAAAACACGGAGGTCAAGCGGTGGCTTGAACCCCTTACCCCTTACAAAATACAGGAGGGGTACCTCAACCGTTACCTACAACCACTAACGTAACGGCGACAACATCGGAACGTACTTCGAGGCCTGCCTGAAAGCCATTTCTGTAGGGTGTCACCCCTACACACTCAGGTAACAGAATACCCCAACCACCAGCTCAAGGCGAACAAATCATAAACGTCGTAGAATTGTGGTGGCCAGGGGAGATATTTCACCTTCCTTTATTTGTTCCCCAACCAAAGATTGAGGTAAACAGTGCCACCAATGTCAAGGAAAAGGGGGTGATTGATAGCGAGAAAGGCCTCACATCCGAAGATCAGCCGTCGCGTTGCAATTCACTGCAGTTTGCACGAAAAATACAAATATTTATGTAGAATGACTTCATTATACGCCGTATGTGTGCTACCATCGCACAGTGGATCAAAACTGGCTTTTAGTGTTCACAATTCACTGGAGCCTTCATTTTTGACTCAATTTTTATGATTTTTTTTTTTTTTAATGGAAGCTAATAAAATTTGCCAGAGACCAGTTGAGCCTGATTTTTTAAATTTTTATTTGAAGTGCAGAAAAAGTACCAAAAAAGAAAAAGTAAAAATTAAAAAAAGGGAAATGTTATTAAAACATTTTCACATTTTTTTTTGTCTTTAGAAGAAAATGTGGATATGCAGTTTTATATGTAATATCTTCGACTTTAGTGATATCGATTTTGGGTATTAAATGGAAAAAAAATATTTTTAATTTTGTGAATATCCATAGAGGCATCTGGCGTTTTACCCCTTTACGAGAGCCTTAATCGACTCCAATCGGGACCAAAATTTATATGTGATATCTTCGACTATGATAGTATCGATTTTGGGTATAAGATGAAAAATTAATAATTTTAATTTTTTTTTCAATCTTTATAGAGAAATCTGAACTATGTCCCCTGTGTGGCATGCCCGCATCGGGACCAAAATTTATATATGATATCTTCGACTATGATAGTATCGATTTTGGGTATTAGATGAAAAATTAAGAATTTTAATTTTTTTCAATCTCTATAGAGAAATCTGAAGTATGCCCCCCCCCCTGTGCAGCATGCCCTAACCGTTTCCAATCTGGACCAAAATTTATATGTGATATCTGTGACCGTAGTATTACCGATCGAGGTAGTGAGACTGAAAAAACTCCTTCATTTGATATTGCTCGAGCCGCTCCCCCCTAACTTTCAAATTTTCCTTCTATACATATACATAAAATAGTACCCTGAAATTCCAGCTTAATAGGTTGCTTAGCTTCGCGGCGGCCTGCGTTAGCGCGTCACACCGCGCGACCGGCGCGCACATCACGTCACGCTACGCGGCGGCCCCCCTTCACCGTCTCCCGCCGTGCTGTAACGCAGGTAGATTTATTTTTTGTATACGTTGAAATAAAATTTTTATATATTCTAAACATCGAGGGCTTATATTCAATAATACCCTCTATCTGCATTTCACTTGAGATTCTGATATAAAAATCCACCTAAGCTTTAACTGTCATCAGTGATGTTAATTTTACCTTATATAACGACAGGTAATAAGTCCCAGATGGTTTCTAAAATCACAAATTACTTTTTGTGCAAATTGCAGATAGAGGGTATTAATGAATTCAAGCCCTCGATATTTCACATTTTTATATTTGTAAGTTATTGGAAGAGGGGATGCCAACTTGGCTCAAACCGTGCCATTTGTCCCTATTTTACTTCAAATGGAACTTAATTTTTCAATTTGGCACAAAGTGCCAAAATGGCACTTTTGTAAAAAAATATCATTTCAATACATTTTTGTGAAATCCTTTGCGTGCACTTCTTTTTCTCAACTAAAATTTTCTAATTTATAAAGGCTATTCAACTAGTTTATCTTATTTTATCATTGCACTTTTGTTTGGAAACAGTAGCTTTATTGTATTGCTAAATGTGAATGATTAAAAGGAATGACACCTTTTTTGGCACTTTTATTTTTCTATTTGGCACTTTTTTATCCTCAATATGGCACCTCATAACTAAGGATAGTTGGCAGCCCTGATTGGAAGATGTCTGCTATGTTTTGTCTGCAGTAAAAAAGCATATCCTTTGTGTTTCAAAAGTGTGTGAAAACCAATCAATTAATTTACATGATCTCGGTTCCGATATTAAAAAATCAATAATTGTTTATACCCGCATTTTGGCACATTGGCTTGAATGTGCCATCTAATAACTAGTGTCGTCGTTCGCCTTGCTTTTAAATGATGTCGTCACAAATTACTGACGGAGACATGAGTACAGTGTAAGAAAATTATTTTTCTATAATTGTTTCCTAATAGAAAGGTTGGTTTCTTTTCCACCTGAGACATTTCGAATTCGTTCAAAATATGCTAATTTAAAACACAGAATTCTTTCTGTTTCTTCAATTTAATAGTGTTCGCTTTATTTTTGTGGAAACGGAACATGTTTTGCAAGTTATGGATCATTTCTACACTCTTTCTTCAAATATTTCTTGTATTCCAGCTGGGCGCAGGCGTTTAGTTTTTCGCATCGTTTTTTACATATTCGTAATTTAAATTTTTTTTAATAAAATCAGTTGGTGGGAGTTCATGATTGTGTGTGGATTAATATCACAACACTGACGATTTGGCAATAACCTCTTTCATCTATTAAAAAACAACACTTACGGGGCAATGTTTATTGTAAGAACAACATTTTTTCTATGAATCGACATACTTTAAGCATTGTTGACGCTATTTCCATTTGAATGAGGAAATAGCGCCAATGACTTTATTTCCAAATTTTTGTTGACTTTATTTCGCTTTTTAAAAGGTAATATTGGTGCGAAATAAAGTCAATTGACCTTATTTCCATTGACCTTATTACCTGTCACCGACCAGCTATTCTCGGTTGTACAAGTACGCAAACAAAGTAAGCGAGTTTGGTTTTTATATTTTATTTGATTTATACATTTTATTTTGTCTAAATTTATATCATACTAGCAAATACCCGGCGTGCTTCACTACTCCTACTACGTATTATTGTGCTGCTTGATACCCATACTGTAATATTTCATTTATTTTATCAATTAAATTTAATAAAACGTTTCAAACAGGTGGCAACCCTTCTCAAAAATATTTACGGCAGTAAAATTTTTTAAACCTCTTCAGTTTAATACCCATATTGCAATATTCAATTTACCTTATCAATTAAAAACTTTTAAACAGGTGGCAACCTTCAAAAAAAAATATTTTTAGCTGTAAGCCTTCTTAAACCTCTTCCTTTTCTGCCATATTGCAATATTTACTTTATATTATCATTTGACATAAACTGTAAACAAACAGGTGGCAACTGTCTAATTATCATTTTTTTTTTAAGTTAGACCTCTAGCAATACATCGGTGAAAACTGCATTCAATTCCATGCATTAGTTTTCGAGTGATGCGCGTGCAAACATACGGGCAGATAGACACACAGACAAGAATTCTTAAAATTGTTGACTTGGTTTCTGTTGCTCTAATAAAGACCCCCCATACTCATTTTTCAAAGCAACATCGCAAAAATTATAGAAAAAAGGTTTTTTCTTAACAGCGGTCGCCCCTCGGCAGGCAATGGCAAACCCCCGAGTGTATTTCTGCCATGAAAAACAGCTTCTCATAAAAAACCAATCGCCGTTCGGAGTCGGCGTAAAACTGTACGTCCCTCCACTTTGTGTGAAAACAATAAGGCGCACGCCGCAAATCGGAGGAGAAGCTCGGCCAAACACTAACATATAAGCGCCAATCTATTATTATTATTATATTAATTTTTCTTTAAAATCTATAATGTATAGACATCGGCCTGTTACAATTTTATTATACATAAGTACGTATAGATTATTTATTTTATTATCAGATAAATAAAATTTTTCGAGTTTAATTTTATTATAAAAGTGCACAACTATAATTACATTAAAAAAAAAAAAACAAGTAGAAAAGTCTAAGAAGGGCGGAGCCGATCATTAAATACCCGGCGCAAGTATTCAATATAGTTTTTTCATCTTTCCGAAAACCACCGCTACGTGGTAAACATGGGAGGTTTTACGTATATTTCAAACATCTTCGATAGAACGTTCAGTTAGATGCAATGAGAAAAACTTATGTATATAGATATATGTGGGCGGCATCACGCCCACTTTCCAAAATTCCATAATAGTAATGTTACTTCTCTTCAAGGGATTGTTAGTATCAATAGGCGTCCTTAAATTTCGAAATATCGTTACCGTTATAGAAAAGTGGGCGTAATTTTAGTCAGATTGCAATCATTTTCAACGTTTTGTCTTTTATGTGGCAAGCACATTAATCATACCGAGTTTGGTACAAATTGATCGAACGGTTACCGAGATACACATATGTGGTCATAAGTGGGCGGAGTCACGCCCATTTTTCAAAATTTGATTATAACCGTATTTTTTGCTAACGGATTAGTACAAACATCAATTTTGAATAAATTAGCTTCAGTATTTACTGATTTATCGAAGCTTTCGTATTTCTCTAAATCAGTGGTTGGCATTCTAACACATTCAAACTATTCAATAAGTGAGTGCAAACTATTTCATGACTCATTAGCAGAGGACCAAATCTTCTACTTCGCACATACTAAATATCGCAAATCATGCTTCTGTTCACCATTACCGTTGCCTTCGCCGCGACCTTGCCCTTTTCTGCCTCTTAGCCTTTGTTCGCACCATGGCCGCGGTTACCACCTTTGCTCGGATGGTTTCTGACCGCAAAATTAGCACTGTCGTGACTCTTGCACATAGGCCGCGCTCTTCAGCCGACAGCTCCCTCAGTCTTGCTGAGACCCCATGTCGTGCACCTTGCCTTCAACTGGACCAGTGAGTATTTTTTGGCGCTTATACCGTATTGTGTCATTTTCCGCAATTCAACGACCACTTATGACGAAATTGGTAGCCGGATTGATTAATAAAACACGTTTTTATAGGTAACTCCCACAATATCGAATGTTTCTTTATTACAATATAGTTCCTTGGCGGTCATGCATTAAAGGATAGACCCATAACTCTGTTACTTATGTAGACACAAGACGCCTTATGTTTAGTTTATAATAACTTAAACTTAATACTTAGTGTAGGTACACATATTATACACTCCTATAAATGTTTTTTTAGTAATTTATTAGATCACCTCTATGACTAAAAATGTCAGGTAAACAATCTCGCACAGAATTTGTCTAATCACGATGCATTTCTGGGGTTATTGCATTCCAGTATAATAACAATGGCTAAAGGCCCAACCATTCTAGATAAACAGGACTAAGTAAGCCGCCTCAGTAACACATGCATGAGTGCATCTGCATTCCTTGCTTGTGGATGTAAAAAAAAATAGTATAAACGCAAAATAAAATATTATGATTATTAGGAGTAGACAACAATAAACCTAAGACTTAGCGCTTATCTCATAAATGCATACGTGCAAAATTTAAATCCTATATAATTTATGTTAAAAACATGTTTCTTCTGTTTTTTCTTCTTGGTGTCTAGCGCTGCACACCTCGTTATCAACAAAATGATGTTTTTTTCAAACTGATTGCAATTTATAAGGTTTTAAAATGAATTTTTAACTACATATGCCTACATAAAATTTGAGTCCAAACATACACACTCACATACAAATACATGTATATAGAAAGACTAATTATTTTTAGCCATTAGCATATCACCAAAATGCAAACATTATCTAATGTCTGACCTTACCTAGCGCCAGCAAGCGAACTTCGTCCGAATTTTTGTATAAAAGCTGCGCTTGAAGTTCTCAACATCAACAGTCTTTAGGCATTGGAGCCAAGTATCTAATCCGGAGCAGT